TGACGCCATACACTGACGGTTAGACTGCTGAACTTTTGAATTTAGTGATGTTAAGAGGACAACCAAGCACTTTATGACCTCCACTCATCTTTCAACCACTTGTACTTTATTCTCAAAAGTTTATTAGATGTTTCTAACTTATGTAAGTATGAAGTACCGATGTATCACCACCCTTTATTAATCGTCACTTTTATCAGCCAATTCCGATATAATAGAAATTAGCAAACGGAAGTCGTAATGACAGTCGCTTAAACCTTAGAAATAACGATAATACTAACAACTGATTTCTGTGATACATAAGCAGCAATGGGAATCCTCACCGCTAATCATCGGTCTAAGCAACCAATTTATTACAACGCTTAATCTTTCTGTGTCGTCGTTATGCAACACTGTGTGCAGTCGGTTAGTCAAACTAGCGCCTCCGCGATTTGGGGCTGTTATACACCATGTATTCTTTAGATGGTTGTTAATTTAAATTATTTGTTTGCTCGTGGAAAATTTTTCTGGATATTTTGTGGTTGTAACGAGACGTCGAGCTGAAGTTAATCATGGCAGAACGTTACAAAAGAAAGACTAACTATAATGAATGGAGTCTTGTTGTTATTTGAGCGTTGATTTTGTTTTTTGCCTGGCTGCAGTTTGTTCAAAAGAAAGAATTTTTTTAAATTTTAGCTTTTGGCGACAACTCTGCTTAACTCTTAGCTGGTACGAACTTTGTTTTTTTGGATCCTTTAACTTGGCACTAACAACGAAAACAAGAATTGAATTGACGACAAAGATGATATCATCAGTAAGTTTACTGAGTTAACTGTATTAGTCATCGGAAACCCCGCATTTGCGTAAAATACTTTTATTTTTTTTTAATTTGTCCGTTTATAAAGCAAAATCTCGTACCTTCATTCTTGCTCACTTCGTAAATTTTTACTGACAGTTTCATGTAGTTAACTTCATGTTATTTGTGCACAGTTTTGGATGGTTTTGAAACGAACACAAACTGACATGACAATTTCACCAACTAAACGTTTGGGTGAATTTTGTCATTGTCGAACCTTGTATCTATCATTTTTTTGCTTTTGCTAACCATCGATTTTCCTTTATACATTTTTCCCTTTTTTTTGTGTTTTTCTGACAAATGACTTTAGCACAAAATTTTTAAGGAGGTACAAACCTTTTAGTTTTCTGTTACAGTGCAGTTAACTATTTGCTTGTGATAGTTGGAAATCGGTTCGTCCTTCTTTTTTTTTTTTAACCCAATAATAATAATAAGATCTTTTTATGGATTAATTACACGTAGAGAACGATTTTTAGCGCCATGTCATTTTCTTTATCGGGGAAGTTACAGTTGCTAACGAATAGTTTGTTTGAGCTCACTGGTTCAAAATTTTTTTGTCTAGATGATGGGACTATTTGGAAAAGACAAAAAAGCTGATACGAAGGAGCAAGTTCGCGAGCTTCAGAGGAAAATGCGGTCTGAGATGCGTCAGCTTGATAGACAGATTCGTGGCATAGAGCGTGAAGAAATGAAAGTATGTGTTGCGTTGTTTTTAACTCTGTTTTTTTGCTCAAAATTTTCAGATCTGTAGATTTTACTTTAAGATGTAATATCTTCTGTTGTTTAAGTTTACTAAGAACATTTCAAGTAAGAATTTTGTTCTTTGATTGTTGCACAGTGCTTGTCAAATTATTCCAGCCTTTACTTGAAACTTATGGAATTCTGTGTGTTTTTGGTTTAATCTAAAGCGGCATTGAGAAGTAACTGGAAATACAGATACGCTACTAATACTTTTTCTCATGAACCTGTTGAGTAGGATTTGCGTCTCTTGGAGGAAACAAATTGTTGGGAAAATTATTTCAAATTTCTGTAGTTAGGATATGCTCTTAGGATTTCACAGATGACATTTCCTTATTAAGCTTCGTATTAAGTAGCTATCACTTGCTCTTTCCTATGGCAATTGCTCTTGGTCCCTAGGAAGTAGGTTTTTCCACGACTTATTGGTTTTAAGCCATACAGAATTTAAGAACAAACATATCAAATATATATCAGTGAAATGAATAAATTTTTTGTGTAATATGGTTTTGAAACACTTTCTGTGTTTTTTTTTTCTCTAGGGAACGGTAAGCAAATTTCATCACTTACACATTAGAAATCTAGGAAGTAGCTTGCTTTTGTTACGTTATCTTGTCGGCTGTTTTTAGGTGAAGAAACAAATTAAGGACGCAGCCAAAAAAGGCGACCGAGATGTATGCGTTGTCTTAGCAAAGTCTGTCGTGCAAGCAAGAAAAGTATGGTTCAAAATTACATTTTTAGTATCCTTTAAAAATTACGCTGTTTTATTTAATGCGAGAACATTTATTTTGGCTTTTCATTCGTTACTGTTTCAAATTACGGAGTAACAGTTGATTGTAGGCTGTCGCAAAACTTCATGCCAGTAAAGCTCAGATAAATTCTGTAGTTATGGGAATGCAACAACAGTTAGCCACTATGAGAATGGCTGGTTCTTTACAGCAGTCCACTGAAGTGATGAAAGCGATGCAGCACCTTGTTAAGGTGCATTTTCTTTTGCAATTTCTTTAGCCCCAACTTAATTTCTCGTCTGCTGTTCTCACAGTGTTTATCTCGTAATGTACATAGGCGGCTTTTTTTTGCGCCTTCAGCGTATCGTTGATTTTTTTAAAGGTTCCTGAAATTATGGGGACTATGCGGGAATTATCAAAGGAGATGATGCGTATTGGCATTATCGATGAAATGATGGAAGAAACCATGGAATCCCTAGAACCTGAGGAGTTGGAAGAAGAGGCCCAAGTAATCCACTGCTTCTTTTCCTACGCTATTTGTTAATTTTTTATGCCAAGTGTTTAGTATATAAATTCAAATTTTCTAAACGGTGTATTCAAATTGGTTTAAGAGTTAGGCTATTGCAACTGATTGGTTGAAATTTTTTCAGGCTGAGGTCGATAAAATTCTTTATGAAATTACGGCAGGTGAATTGGGCAAAGCTCCAAGTGCTGTCTCAGACACACTGGTTGGACCGTCCACTGTTGAGGCAGAAACTGAAGCAGTCGCGGTAGATTTAGATGAAATGAGGCAAAGACTTGCTTCTTTGAAGAACTAATTTTTTACTTTTTTTCTAATTATTTAGAATGATTCTCATCTCTCTTTACTTTTAAAACGATGAGTTTTTGCTGCAGTAGTTTTGTTGCTTTCCCCAAACAGCCATTGACAATACAACTTAATTTTTACGCATTTTTTTGTGTACATATATTTAGGCTTCTGGTCGTAGTGATGACAGGTTTGCAAGTTTTAGTTTTTTAGCATCTTTCACCACTTAATCTTTCCAGTTTGGGCCACGTTGGTTGATTGGCCATTATGAATTTGATATTTGTTAATGGGTTTAACATTTTATCTCACTAAGACTGGAGTGTTAGTGATCTGATCATCTCATTTTACCACTAGGTGATTGATGTTTTGCAAGATTTTACTAAACTATGAAAATTTTTTAAGTTTTAATATTTTTGGTTATGTGAAATCCCGAGTTCTTTCCAATGTATTCTATCTGTATTTTTATTGTTTTTATAATGGCAACCCAGTAGGCTCTGTAAAATTTTATTCGATGCCAGTTACATGTGAATTCTACAACCGTATTGATATTCCTTTTATAAGAATTTTTTTGGCTAAAAATTCAGAGAGGGCCAAGGAATTTCTTTTGTAAGTTGCAAGGCATAATGTGATAGACATTCATTGGTTTCATTTTGTGCCTTATTTTGCTGTTATAAAAGTGGCACTGTTTAAAAATGCAGTTCTCAATATTATGTTCGTAATTTACTGTTATATGATGTGCAACTGCTCGGTTGTTTTGACCCAGTTTTGAAAGTGCAAATCTAAAATGTTAATATTTAGACAAAGCTGAGGGGATTTTTTGAGGTTTAAGGGGTACAGTATGCATTGGTCAAAATCTGTTGCGTGTTCGAGAAGTGGTTTGTTGATAATGGAATTTCTGTGGTCGAAATGCTGTTTTATTTGTGTTGAAATTTTTTGGTTTTACTGCTTGCCTGAAATTTGGTTACTGAACCTTTTGTTGTACATTCTTCGGTGCTTTAATAAATTATAGATCTTCGCGACATATATTTTTTGACTTTCTAGTTCTATTCTGCTCTACCTTTCCTATTATGTTTATCATGTGTCATGGAAGGCTAATATGTTGATGATAAAAGATTTTAATTGTATTGGGGGATTTGATGCTTGAAGAACTTTTTTTGGATTTAGTCTTAGCTGCGTTGTGACAAAACATTTGTTTTTTCGGAATAGTGGGGTAAGTGGTTGATAAAGGTAGAGAAGTGGGGGCAGTGTAAGCTACTAAAGCTTCTGTTGCTTGAATGTTTTAATGGGTTTGTTTTGTGGCAGATGGGCAGTTAGAGTGCTTGTTGCAGGTCTCATGAACTCATCGCTTATGTTGACCTTATGTGGGGTCCGTCAGTTTACTACCGTAAACGCGGTCCGTAATCCAAGTAAAATTATTGGGCCGGCTGTTCGACTACTGCTTTTTCAGTATGGTCTAGAAGAAAGTAAAGTTAATCCTACGGGACCAAAAGGGAATATTTTGAAAAACGATGTTTTACAGTTTATCAAGAATTCGAATCTGAAACCAGTACCACAAATTGTTGAGCCAGTTTCGTCTTCAGGCACGGTTGGAATCAGTTTGAAGCCGGAGATTAAACCAGGGCAGAAGTATGATCTGTTGTTGTGATTTACCAGACTGTTTAGTCTCTAATTTTCAATAATTTTTGAAGTTTAATACTATATAGATACATCGATATCCCTCTAACAAATATGCGCCGAGCAATTGCTAAACGATTGCTGTTTTCCAAACAAAGTATTCCACATGCCTATGTGACTGAGACAATTGTTGCTAACAAATTAGAAGCAGTTAGATCACAGTTCCGAAATGAAGGTATCAAAGTTTCAATAAATGATTTTCTGATCAAGGCTGCTGCTGTTGCTCTTCAGTCCGTACCAGAAGTAAATGTACGATATTTGGACGGTAGAATACAGAGACAGCAATCTGTGAGTTTTTGAAATTTTTGAAGAGTTGGTTCTCCATTTAATCAGCTTTTGGTTTTTGATTACAATTTAGCTGAGGAGTAGTCAGTATAATTGTTGTTTATCCTCATATTTTTTTAATCTCAATTAAGATCGATATTTCTGTTGCTGTGGCCACTCCTGCAGGTTTAATCACCCCCATTGTTTTCAATGCCAACCGTCTTGGAATTGCTAAAATCAGTGAAATCGTTCGTGAGTTGTCAATTAAAGCGAAGAATAATCAGCTTCAGGTTAGCTGCTAGTTGGGATTGTGTTTTAAGTGAATTGTTTTTTGTGATAGTCTGAAAATCTACATAGTTTTAACACATTGTGGGAAAGCTGTAAGGTGCTATGTTTTGTTATCATATGATTTCTTTCGGTTCAATGTTATTACTGTATGGTTTGTGGTGAATTCACTGTGACATTTTTAAACTGCACATTTTTAGCCAGCTGAGTTTGAAGGTGGTACGTTTACTATTTCAAATCTTGGAATGTACGGTAGTGTTTCAAGTTTTACTGCAATCATCAACCCTCCACAGGCAGCTATACTTGCCGTGGGAGGTGTTATTAAAGAAATGTCATTGGATGGAACTCCGAATTCAACGTAATTTGATTTGTAACTTTGTATTATTTTCTGTATTGTCAGTTTACTTACTTCTTGCTAGGAATTCAGAAAAACAAACTTTTATAGGATCTCTGTGTCGCTTTGTTATGACAGTCGTGCGATAAACGATTTGGATGCGCAACGCTTCTTAGATCATTTAAAACTAGCCCTTGATGATCCGGAAATAATGATCACCGGTACAGAGGGACTTCACGACTTATCTGCGTTATTGTAACTGAGGAAACTTATTTTTGAAAGTAAATAATTTGTGCTCATTTGTAATAGTTCTACTCGAAGTAATATTTTTCGCGAATGAATGATTCTCTGTACGTTGGCTTGCCCGCTTTAGTCTCTGGGATGGCGTTGTAGTGCTGTTCCTATACTTTTGCCAAAGGAATTTGTACAATTATGTGATTATTGTAATGTCAGACTAGTTACATGGTTTTTTTCTATGAACGCATCTTCTAGAGTACACTAATTGGCATTTTTTTTGAAAAGTTTAATCTGAGTAAGAATACCAATTTGCATTTTTGTAATTTATTATGCCAAACTGCTAGATTGTTTGTATCCTATTGCGATTGATATAAGAATTGCTTCTGAGTGATATTTATGGATGGACGTGATATCTGTATATCTTTATTGAACGAAAGAATAATTTTTTTTGAACATTTTTTATTAGTGGACAGGGTCGTTTTTTGAAGGATTTATTAGAGAATACGCTTTTTTGGCCGTTGCAGGGCATTTAGAGTCACAGGCTGCTGAGCTTAAATTTCTTCGTCGTAGGTTTTTCTGCATAACTACTGGTTTTATTATATTAGATGAAGTTTATAGAACTTAACATGCATAAAATTGGTTTGTTCATTTCTGATGAACGCTGTCAATTAAGTAGTGAGTTTTAACGGCTGGCTTCCGTAGCTTCCTTTGTAGTTGTTTGGCACTGACTTCAACTTGCAGTTTATTTTCTTCTCTGTACACTTTTATGGAGGAGAAAAAAGATTTTTTGTTAGTCCAGTTGGTCTTGTCGTTCAGCAGTTACAAAATTAAGTTGTGACGCACGGTTCGCGAAGGCGTTCACTGCAGGAATGAAGCGTAGCTTTTATGCAGTGGCTCGAGGTAAAAACCCTGGTGTTTACAAGACGTGGCCGGAATGTGAGAAGCAGGTCAAAGGATACACGAATGCAAGGTGTCCTGTTTAAAAATAAGGATTTTGTTTGGCAGTTTTTGTAATTGGGTTTGTAGTAATTTCACTTGGTCTTGTGGATGCGTGCCTTACGTAGGGTCATTGTACATGGGTAGGTGCTTGTGGGTTAATAGTTCTAATAATTTTCTGACTGTCATTGTTAAATTTTGGTGCAGGTCTTCAGTTTGTCAGTCTCCCGTTTGGAGAAGTATTTTGCAGTTTGCAGTTTTTGTGTTCAAGCTTTTTAAACTCTGGAGACTACCATATCGTTTCGTCTGGTATTGCCAATGTTGAGCTGTTTAAAAACTGGTTACATTTTTTGAGGGATTCACCGTAGGTTTTTGCAAGTAGTATATCTACTTTGAGGGTTTTTTTCGTCTTTCGCGTTTTTGCATTATTCCTTCTCGCAGCTTAGTGTTTGGTTCCATGTAAATCTTTGATAGTGTTTTGGTTGGTGACGGCTACTACATGGTATGTTACTCAAATTTTTATTCGTACGTATGGTGGTGGGAACCTTGTATCGGGCAGCCAGGACGTTAAAGGACCGAGTTTAATAGCTCGGTATGGTTGGGGGATTATTAATTTCTAACCTGGAATTTTTGACCCGAGCGATAAGTTCGGCGGTGGGCAGAGATTACTGGGCTGAAAAGAAGCTTTTAGAGCACCACTGGAAGTGGATTTTAAGAATAGCATTGGGAGATTTGAAAGCAATATATCTTTTGTGTTACAGTGGTGCTCTTAGCTAAGATCAGAAAAGGAAGGAGGTAACACTGGGGTGGGTGTTTCAGAGTGTTTCTAATAAACATATTCAAAAGGTTCGATTTTTTTTAAAATCTTTTTGTTTGCTAAACCAATTTATTTGCCGTTTAAGATATGCTAATTGAAGTGAATTTTGTGCCTTACTCGCGTACAAGGTTTATTTCGATTAGTATGTGGCGCAGTTCGTTAACCCTTCACCTTTGTTCCAGGTATAAGAAATTTGAGAATGAAGCTGATGCGCTAGCATTTATTGACAGGTATAAGGACATTGGCAAGAAAAGTGAGTAGATTTTGACCATTCTTTTGTTACTGTTTTGTTCCCTTTTTCATTTTACACAATAAGGCCTGTAAGAAGTTTTAGGTGTTAGAGATAATAGAGGAGCATCGGCTTTAGTCAGCAGCATAAAGTCTGCTGTTAGCCTTTCGAATAGGAAACGTCCTGCTTCTTATGATGCAGACCCTGCTTGCAGTAGTAAGAAGTCTAAGAGGTTTCTTGAGACGAATATTTTCAAACCTTATCATTTTTAAGTTTTTGTTTTAGAGGTTGTATGTATATGTATTCATTTATTTTAACTCCTTTTTTTATTCGACGGAAATTTAGAAGTGTTATGTGTTGTTTACTATATTTATAGCGTGTCAGGCGTTATAAAAAATGCATCGGTGGAACGTTGGGTTGCTGAAGGAGTTCCTGTAGTTTACACCGATGGATCGTGCTTTGGAAATGGAATGGCAGGGTGTAAAGCGGGTTACGGCGTTTTTTGGGGGGATAACCACCCAGATAATCTTTCTGAACCGTTAGACAGAGGGCCACCTACAAATAATCGTGCTGAGCTGACGGCAGTAATCAGAGCTTTAGAGCAGGTTCACATTTTTTGTTGTTCTACTTCACTGGCTTTTTGCACTTTTTTTGTTTGCAAATTCGAAAAATGAAGAATTGCGTCTTTCTTACTTTATCACTTCTCCACTCTTTCACAGGAGTTTTGATTTTAATACTGGAAATGACGTTAATAATTGAACATTATCTGATATTGCTTCATTTTTTTAAAATTAGTTTCAAGATAGAACTGACTGTAATTTGAGTTATTTATTTATTTAGGCTGAAAAAAGGGGATATAAACGATTGGTGGTGAGGACGGATTCAAATTTGCTAATTCAATCAATGAGTGTTTGGATACATTCCTGGCGTCGTAATAATTGGAAAACTGCTTCTGGTACCGACGTAAAAAATAAAGACCTTTTGTTAGAGCTAGATTTGCTCTTAAAGAAGGTCCAAGTATGTATCACTTTTTCTCGTATTAGTGGTTCTGGTTTTTACAGGGATTGATTTATTTTACAAAGAATCTGACTTAAATTGATCATATTGTAATTTAGTTTCTAATAATTTTATTAGGTTACTTTTGACCACGTCAGAGGACATGTTGGCGTCTACGGGAACGAAAAGGCAGATGAGTTAGCTCGTAGTGGTGCAGAACGTTACAGTAGTCATAGATGTGATGCAAAAACTAGGTTTTAATGTATAACTCCTACTTTCTGCTTGTCAAACTTCTGTGTGTATAGACTTCGTCAGTTCTTGCCTTATTTGAGGCTTTTTTAAGAGTCCTGACGCGATTCTTCAAAATCACTAGCACAAGAACTCTTTTCTTATTTGCTTTTTCTTGTTATTATTTCTTATTTTTACTGGTATGTGTTATAATCCTATATAATTGACAGCCATTATTTGATTCTAGCTTTCGTTTCCAAAGTTTTAGTTTCTTTTTGTTCAAAGCGTGAGGAAGAATTTTGGGCTAAGCTGACTATTACAGTAAGACTTTCATGCTTGAACAAATTGTTTTACTGCAGCTATTGTTATTTACCGTTTAAAGAAGTAACTAGCTAGGTTCGATTCTCATTGTGCTTTCCTTTTTTTCTGGTATGGGGCGGGGACTTGTTTGTTGGAACTATATTTTTCTTTCAATTTATTGAAAGTTTGTTGTTTGTATATAATTATCTTTGAGTGACTAAAACTCTGTTTTGCAACTGTTCATCTACGTCGTGGAGTTGATAATATCTTGGTTAAGTGAAAGTTTTTATATTACAAGAAAGGAGAGAGGAAAATAGGGTTTTATGACTGTAGACCATTTTCCTTGCTGCAGAACAAGACAAAGTTTGAAACAAGAGAGAATCTGGAAGAGCTGGAGTTGAGTTAAGTGAGTGGTACTCTTTACCAGATAATGCTCTGGTCATTTTTGGATTAGCTAGTTTATGACGGTTGGTATCGTTGCTTCTGTCGTCAATTTATATGGGCTCACTTTACTGTTTCAATTGCTGTTTCTTTAAAACTGCTGTCTAATTTATGCATTTTGAACAGTTAGCAAGAGAGGTTTTCTGCAGTCTTTTTCAGCAGAAGTTCAGCTAGGTCAGAATTTTTGCTTATGAAGTTTTTTTTGAAAGAGAGTGATTTGTGTTTTTATGTGGTCAGGTATTTTTGAGGTATTTATGTGGCTGTCTAGTATTGCCGATGATTCAGCACTTTACGCCAAAGAAGGAACAAAAGACCTTGCGTCTTAATGCATAATGTCAGATTTGAGAATTATATAGTTCGAAAGGCTACTAATTATTTGCATTGCACGTGCGTTCGTTTATTCCACTGGTGCAGTAAGCATGCTTGTACGGAACGGCTGTAATCTGCTTATTAAATATTATTCTTAGCACTAATAAAGCTAAGAAAAAATGTTTCAATTTCAATTATTTTAGTTAACGGGTTTATGCTACTGTATTTAAAAGCTTTTTAAGTACAGGTAAAAGCATTTTAATAAGTTAGCAGATCAAAAGTGATTAATATTCTTCATCGCATTTCTTTTTTTTTCGCGAGCATTACACTGAATAAATTCCACACGAATTAATGACGATAAAAGTTATAAACAGCGAAGTAAAAGGTGACACGGTAGCTATTGACTTATTCTTAGACAGAGTAATAATTATTGACAACATTTATGACTGGTACGGTGATAGTTTGTGTGTAGCAACGGAAGTTTGAAAGATGCCATGAAACGTTGATCGGTTGAAATGTGAAGTAAAAAAGACTTGCAAATAAAATAGAAACGTCGAAAGATTTGTTTCCATTCAGTGGCATTTTGCAAAAAAAAAAAAAAAAAAGTTTTACCTCTAAGCTTATTATTTTTTTTTTTTT